TTTTATTAATATATTTATTATTTTTTTTTTTTTTTTTTTTTTTTTTTTTTTATTTTAAAATGGTTTTTTTTTTTAAAATTTTTTTTTTTTTTTTTTTTTTTTTTTTTTTTTTTTTTTTTTTTTATTTTATTTAAGAAAAAAAATGACATTAACAATATGCTTAAATAGCTTGAAAGAAAAGACTAGAGGTATTTTGTACCTGAAAATATTCTCAAAGAAAATCAATGACACGTATAACAAACTAAGGTTAAAGCATCTCCTGTATTACGGCAATGAGAAATTTTTTCATTGTTCATAGTGCACTATTATAAGAAAATTATTTTTTGATTAATTTTTTCCAGACATACGGCTAAAAGATATAACAATTGTATCTGCCATTTATTAAATAGTATAAAGCAACTATTGAACAACTATATAATGAGTGAAATATTAGAAAAAATTGGATATTCATTTAGATAGTTAAAAAGAATAGATAAATTCTAAAAAATTTTCTAATTTTTGTAAGTTATTGAAAATTTTCTAATATAGAAAATATCATTTTGTTCTAAATCTACGCGTATAGGTATGTTATACACAACAAATATATATCTTTTATATTAAAATTGTTTCTATCAGTAAAATACAGACAACTAGTTTCTTCATTTTAACATACTTCTAAACAATCAATAGAGATAGAACAGAATGAAGAAAAAAAAATATGAACGAACTAAAAATGATATTGTGACGATTTAATATTAATGATCTGTATTCTCTATCGAATAACATGATCCCTTCAAATATATTAGTAAAAATAATTTTTTGTCTCTGTTCGTTGTCACTTTGTCAATCAACAATCGATCCATATAATATATCTATAAAATATAGAAGAAGAAGAAGAAGAAGAAAAAGGAAGTCTTCAAAACATCAGAACTAAGGATTTACATACACACACAAACCTATTTCCGTATATAACAACAACAACAATACACATAAACGATAGAACACGCAATCAAGACATACATATATATATATATATACAGATAACATGGTAGGAACAGAATAAGTAACAAAAGGAAGAAAAATAAATTGATGTCTTTGTTTTTAATGATTTTTTGTGCTCATGTTAGGTGCAATTGTACACGTTTCATTGAACATAAATCATACAGGTGGATAATTGAATAGATTTGAGTACGTTTTTCTTTTTTTCTCTCACCATAAACCTCTATCTCTAAATGACAAGTACTAGAGAGATAAGCACGCGCATTAAGAAAAATGTACATGATAAAACAACATTTTGTCATGATTTCTGTTAAGAAATAAGATTTGAAGTACCATATTTTATTTAATAATTAATAGAAGCTTAACTCCTAATATTGTTAATTAGATGTGATCATATATAAATCTTTATTATAGATCAAATTACTAAATTCAAAATGAAATTTTAATTAATAATTAAAAGCTATGCTAATACACACTCGAACAACTTTAAAAATAAAAAACTTTTATATTCCTTCGTTTAGAAAAAACAATAATATGACTTCGAAATTGACAAAAGATAGTGTTCATTATTTAAGAAAAATCACGATTAGCTTAAGCACAATCTAACATATATTAAAAGTACATATTTTTTGTTCTATTGATAAAAAAAAAAAGGACAGGTGACATAGAACAATGGACACTAATCCTATCTATAAAATATGGTATTTAGGAAATATATTAACAATCTTATAGACTCCTCCTACTGTAAAAATAAAAAGGATATTCTTTTTAACATTTTTGCTGTATTTAACTCGATTGCTTTTTTTCTCTTTATTATTTTTTTATCTGTCAGGATTTTTGATCGGAACTACTTAAAAACTCTCTTTGAACGGGCTATAATTTAACGGACACATTAACTAAATGATAGGTCAGCAATACTTAGATATTTATTGCATGTATTCTTGCATTAGAACAAAAAAATTTTTTTTTTATATTTTTCTGAAGTGTGTTGTTTCTCACTTTTTATTTTATTCGATCATTCCCATATATCACATACTAAAGGTCTTTCATCATCTAACTTTTGAGTTGTTATTATAATCATTATTAACAAGATGTTCACAATTAAAGACAATCCAATAATGAAAAACTTGTATTTTTGATAAAATAAATAATTGATCTCATCATACTTTGAGATCTACACGAATTAGGACCAAATATAATCCAAAATCGAGTTGAGCCTACACAAATCTGTCTAGAAAAAATTTTTGATGAAAAAAATGAATACTCACTTTCTTAGACAGAATTGTTTTTTTTTTGCACACATTGTATCATTTCCGATTTCTCATTTATCTTTTTCGCACAAAATAACCGATACTGTTATAACCAGTATACTTCGAAAGATTGATCATTCGTCTATTTTCTAAAACTTCATAATTTTCTAAAATCTACAAATATAACTAGGTAAACCTGACCATTGTCTCAACTCTTTTATTGATTTGTGTCATTAAAATAGACAAACACAAAGATTAAATCACACAACACTCGTTTACGTAGAATAAATGACATGAGGCGGATAACACAGTTGATGTCCTATTACTTAACAAACTCTTACATACTCTTCGACATGATATTTTTCAAACAAAAAAAAAAAAAAATTTCTTTGATACAGAAGAATAAACCAAGGCTAAATATTATTTGTTTCTGACAATCGTCGTCATTCGATCACGTACGTATATATAACAACTTCATCCATCAATGATTCTTTTAATAATAATAATAATAATAATAATAATAATAATAATAATAATAATGAAATTGATCTCTATGATTCGATAGATTCATTCCATAATGGAAAGATTATGTATTACTCAGTTTGAAATTATGGTTTCTATCAAAGTGTGTACATGATATTATTACGAATTGATACTTATTGATCATATACTCTACAGAACATAAAATTATTATCTTTTAACTCACGTATGAGTTAATGAACAAAATTCTAAAGATTCTTCATCATTTTCTCCTATTATTTTCATTATCTTTAAGTCTAAAAACTAATTTAAAATGATCAAAATTTGTGTGATCTATCGATTTAGTGTCAGTAATCTCCAAGGAAATAACGGTGATTTACTATCTCCATTTGGTATCATGTCAATATTTAATGATACCCTTTAAAATCAATTAGAAGAATAAACGATCTATTTTTCTTCTCACTTTTTTTTCTTTTTTTTTGTTCGGGAAGCAATAACTTTTGACACATGACTCTATTATAGGTAATAACAATAATAAGATTTGATTATCATCTCTTCTTTCTTTCTTTTTCTTTTTTTTCTCCCCTTTAAATTAAAATATCGAATAAGTCATTTTCACTTTTCCAAATTAAACACTGCATGAGGTATTCATGTTGTATGTGTATAAGTATGTGTGATTTTGAATGACAGCAGCTGCTAAATGTGATTTGCACGAAATACTTTATCTAAGTATGTGTGAACTTTTTTTTCTCTTTTTTTTTTGTCTGATTTTCAGAAAAATCGAACAGTTTGAACCATAAAAGAAAGAAAATTATTTAGCCATGTATCCTGTAAAACACGCCATGAAACAATATCAATGTTCATTGATGTATTGATAAGGACACACTTTTACATTCCTACATCTTGTTGTAAAAGAAAAAGATAGATGAAATTGAGGAATCTCATACAACATTCAACTATTCATAGAAAAACGTTTTTAAACTGTATGTATCTTCAATATTAAATTGTATTAGATAGAAACTGGTATTGTTATGTTTTTTCTTTTAGTTACTTGTATATGTACATATTATGAATGAATAACAGACTTAAATAAGATAATTAGAAATACGATCTATATTTCTTTCATTTTGTCTTGTAAATATTAACGCACGCCAAAACATACAAAACGAAGATGACAACGACAAACAAACTGATCTACGATATTTTCCAAATCAAATGAGCCATTGTCTTTGTCAAATGTTATCGTTTCTTTTATCAAATGACATCGTGCGTAAATAATATATACATAGATCATGACAAAAAAAAACTATCTATATATATATATTTTAAATGAAACGCTTCTCTTTTTCTTTTTTGTTTTATTTCAGAAAATTGGCTCCACTAATATTTGAAAATTCTTCTATAAATTAAACATTAGACGATTTCACACATCATTTCATGTTTCACCAATTGAAAAAAATAGTCAAAAAATAGTTTTCTTCTAAAGAATTAATAAAACATCTCACGAATAGAAAAATAACATACCAATCTCCAAAGACTATTATCGATGATAAACTTAAAAAATCAGAATAAACAATTTGTTTCTGATGATAATTGAAGTCAATCATAAAGTATTGCAAAAAAATGTCATAGTAGTCAATAGTCAAAAAGAAAATGGAGAGTAGAGCCAAAGAATGATTTGCAAAGTAAGAGATATGGTTGATTTTTGAAGAAAAAAATGTGTTTATTCTATATTGCTGTATAATCAGTCCATCAAGTGTCTCATAAGTGTACTAAGCGCTTTGTTGAACACATTTATGTGAAAAAAATACGCGTGAAAAAGACAAAACAAGAGAATAAATATAAGCCGTGCGCGTTTATCATCCACAACATTTCAATGATGATTGACATTTTAAATAATTTTTGAATAAACTATTGATCGATTATTTATTTTACATCGAATATGCTAAATGATTGAATGAGCACGTTCATTGACTATAATAATTATTTGTTTTCAAGTATCTAGTTTTGACAATAGTCTAAATCTACTCTACACATTCTTTCTCTTGCACTTATTACAGACGAAGAAGAAGAAGAAGAGAAAGAAAAACGACAAAATCAGTTGACAAAATCATGCACAGATAAAATTCTAATGATCAATTATTTTCTTTTTCAAGAATCATTATTCTATCTATTCTCCTTTATCTTGCCTTACCTCATTCGTGTTCTTTTTGAATTCTCGACTTAATTCTACTAATTTTTTTCTTGATTGGTCACTTTCATCTTGACGCTGAGCGATTTCTGTTGCAGTCACATCTAAATCACGCTAAAAATAAAAAAACAAAGCAAATTATACATACAAATATAATAAAATGTTATTGAATAGAATAAAAAAAGTAAAATAAAACAGTTTATATTTCATATTAACGTAGATATTGTCAAAAATATATTCATAGATAATAAAGATATTTTTTATATAAAAACTCGACAATTCTTAACAATTAGACCGTTAAACAGGTATATATTAATTGACGTGTGACAATTTGATGTAACACAAAAAGTCTGTTTTTAGCTTAAAATTTGAAAGTCTTGATATACCTTTAAATACGAAGTTTTTAATGAACGAACTTATTTGATAATAATAGTGGTACCAAAAAAAAAAAACAAAAAAAAATGAACTTACTTTTTTATTTAACTAATTCTTTTGTGATTAAATTTTGTGAGAAAAAAAAAAAGAAGAAAATTGTTAACAGTAAGAATTTTTCTTAAATATTCTGCAAACAAAAAAGAAAAAAAAAAAAAAAGAAGAATACAAATGACTGCCTATCATCTACTCATTTTGCACAAACCAACGTGGGTGTCATCTTGTTTCAATACATTTGAAACATAAAAAAAAAAAAAAAAAGAAACATTTTTTGTTCATTGTTTAGATCATGTATACGAGCTATTGATAAAATTGTATCTCTTTCTAATGTCATAGAATATTATTCATAACTAACGATTATCATATTGTTGACAAGAAATATCATTTTTTAAATATTGACCTCAAATATATGTATATACGTTATCCAGCCATATATATGCCATAATTCTAACCTCGTCAAACGTAACATATATTTATTTATATTCGTATGTGATCACTTTGATCAAAAATTAACCAATTTATTTTGTTGACGGTTGTTGTTATTAACATAAAAAAACTAAAATCTTATTTCTAAATCGACATTGACGATGGAAAAAAACAGTAGAAAATTGTAGATATATAATGTTTGTATATCATATAACAAACAGCAATAGTATGAGAGAAAGTTGTACGACAAACAAAAAAAAAAAAAAAATGGAGAAAAAAAATCAAATATGACGACAACAAAGCTGGATGTTGTCAATTTTAGATTGTTTCTTCTTATTAGTGTTATTTCTTGATTGATATAGATTAGAAAACGACGATAGGAGAGAAGAAAAAAAAAATCAAAAGATTAACTATACTATGGTAAAATCGACTTTTGACAACCACAAAGCAGTGCGTGTATATTTATCAAAATAATATATACATCTGCCAAATATTCTAAATTTTTTCCCATTTGTGGTTTCTAATGTATTTTCTAAATCAAAAATACTGAACATAGACTGAAGAACAATACACACCTGTCGGACTTTCAACAATTATGAGCAAAGATTAGAAAATTGAAAATATGTCGAAATCATTTGTAATGTTCTACAACGTAGAGGGACATTTAAAATCTACTTATAAACGAGAACTAAAATCAAACATTATGAGAATATTTAAAATGTGCAAATATGATGCAAACGTCTAGAAATAGTAAAAGACTCTAATAATCTTCTAATATAGTGTCTAAACGCGATGGTTTTATTTTCTACACATTCGCTCTTATCTTTTGATGGTGACACTGTTGTGATTACATTTCTCAATATCTATTTCAAAATTTTCAGACTCTCTTTTATATCATCTACATTGTTTTCATTATTAAGAATAATATTATTAAACCTCGTATAAAAAGTTCGTTACTTTCACCTTTACTTTTACAAGTAACGGTAAACCGCTGTTACTATAATATTTATCATTCAAAGGAAATGACATGTCGATCAATCATTTCAACGCGTCTCTTCGTGTTCATTACTCGAAGACATTTCGAACTCTTTTCTTCTTCTCTCCCTCCCCCCCTATTAAGTCTCATATTTACATAGTATTTACAAAAGAATTTATTCATTCGCATCTATAGATATAGATACAGTGTTGTCGTCATTTCCAATAAGCATAGCAATATTTCTGTCGTCGTATTTCATAAAAACGAAAGAAGGTCAAATGTCCCAAAACCGTATTGAGAGAGTCAATTGATTCTTTAACACATATAAGAAGGCGAAGGATATAAGAAGTGACAACGCTCGAGTCTTGTATATGTATGTACATCTCCGAAAAAAAAAAAAAAAAAAATACAAAAAACTAATTGTCATGTTTCCTTCTCAATTTTCAATGTTTGCTACTATATCGAGAAACAAACATAAAAAATTCGATTATGAATGTATATGAGTATGGATATCTCTACTGTATATAATATACAATATCGATAAAGTGCCATGTTCTATTTATTTTTTTTTCTCGGCTTGGTTCTGTTTCTTTGTATAAGTGTGTGTATGTATGTAATATTATTCTATTAATATGATATTGGGAAGAAGCCGAACAGATATAAACTTATGATCATTTTTCAGCATGATCGTTTATAATAGTTATTTTTTTCAAAAAATAATCATAATAATACTAATATCTTCATGTCATTTTGGAATTTCAAAGCAAAAGAAAAATTTACACATACCGCAGTAAAATGCAGACGTGATATCAAAAGTTTATTTCATACTCTCATTCTGCGATCAGAAATGTGATTGCTGCCTCAAGTCTTAGACTATTTTATTAGTTATTATTAAAGTGTAGAGTAGAATACATCTATCAACTCGCATCATCAAAAAGTCATTTATTCTACAAAGTCACTTATTCATGTTGCAAAACTGATTGAAATTTAAATCTAGTCAAAAAAAGAGAAAATATTCTTCTATACTTACTCTCTTGTATAATATTGAAAAAATTTTACTTATCTACATAAATTATTTACAATTTAGCTAGGAAATGAATAGTTGAGAGTATCACAAGCAAAAAAAAAAGTAAATAGGACGATAAGAACAGAGGATAATTTGACTGTGGTTATAAGGATAAATTGTGGTCAAATCTATCAGTTTTATTTACTCGATCGAATTAATTCATTTGCAGTAGAAACGTTTGCACTACGAAAAAATCAATAGAAGAGCTTTTAGGTATATACCATTTGATAGATGCAGATTTCATTAAAAGATGATAAATCGTTTATAAGGTGAAGCTCACCTGTTCCAAAAGAGTATCTAACTATTCAGAAAAACATCAACCACTTACTCGTTTTCTCAAAGTCACCTATTATTATTGATATCAAGAGGGTTATAACTTATATTTATTTATTATGATTCTGATAATTATTTGTTTTCAATTCTATTTTCTCTTTGTATCTATATAGTCTGTAGTCGAAAGTATTACTGCTCTTACTAATCAGAGAGAGAATAGAATAAAGAGAGACAGAACAGAAAAGAGAAATAAAAGATGATCCAGCTAGCAGTAAAAAAAAAAAGAACAAGAAAATGTTTTAATAGTGCCTACGACGTGCAAAATAGACAAAAAAAAAATTGTCAATTTTCAAGGTGTTTCGTTTTTTTTTCAAATAATATCCACTATCATAACCATTCTTTAAGTATCGCATCTCGTCAAACTTTCGATATCATATGTAAATAAACTACAGTAATCAGTAGAGTAACACAGCGCAAATAGACATTTTAATAAAAAAAAATATTCTAACATTACTGATCATTTGAAAGAAATTAAAAATGACTATCTAGTTGTTAATCTTATATCATTTAAAAATATTAAAGATAGTTATAAACGTCCATCGTTCTAAAGTATTAATAATTGTTTTTTGGCTAATACGAGTTTCAATAGAAAAGTAACAGTTAGAATGGGAATACTGACAATATTAAACATACAACAAAGTATAGATCAATAAGTTTAAAATTTCTTTAGTCGATCGTAATACTTGAGTTTTTTCTGCTAATAAAATTGTTTAAATTTTAAAAAAGTAACTAAAGTTCGTCTAGCTTTCTTAAAAATGATCAGCAGAGTTAAGAATTATAGTAAAACACCTTCAGGAGACCTTAACTTTATATTGCTCATAGATACGTGTATAAAGCAATAAACAGTGGAAACTACTAACTATTGAATTTATAATTTCTTCCTATATCAGCAATATCTTTTCTCGTCTATTCTACAGGATTCTCTACGGTGAAGCTTACAAGTAATATAATTTAACTCACTGATTCATTCACATACACACAACTACAATAGAAAATCTAGTCAATATCGTACTTGAAATAGATAATAAATATATATTCAAACAAATGTCAACAAAAGAAAAAAAATCTTCGATAAATGATGAAACGAACGAACAAGAAGATATTTATCTCGAAATTTTATTCACCTTCATAAGTTACACATTTTAAATGAAAATATTTTGAACTTTATTTTAAATCTAAATATGTTTGATTATTCTCGAATATTATGAAAACTTAAGGAAAATTCGTATGATTACAAGTTTAATTAGTTAAATCTCTTCTTATTTAAAGATAAAAAGAAATTCTTATTAACATGTAACTATTATCATTGACTTCAATTTAAACAACACCTTTAACATTTTCACCAGTCTCATCTAAAGTATTCTCGTCGAACGAAAAGTAGACGATATTCACTACATACTTCACGATATTTTTAGTTAGGAAGAAAAAATGAGTATTGACGCCTACTAAAAAAAAATAACTAATCATACCATTTTGTTGATTTCTTTTGAAAAATAGACAAGTTAAAAACAAAGTGCAAACGCTGTTTGTATTTATTTTACATGAGCACATGCTGCATGACTCACCAGATGGCAGCAGTTACCAAATACTAGATTGATTTGACACAATCAATTACACAAAATGAAATATTGAATTATTGAAAATATTTTATTCTTCTTACCTGAACAGTATTAAGATCAAATGTTGCCCACTGTTGAATGACCGATTGTATATTTTTTCCTGTTGTCATATTAATCAATTTATTGAAAACTTTAAAATAATATGGTCATGTTCATATTTTAAATATCTAAACAAAGAAAATAAATAAATTAATTATGTATAGGTTTTTGTCTTTAATCTAAATCAAATCTACTCATCATTAAAAGAATAAAACGGAGAGTATTTATGTATTTCTTTTCTAACAAATATATTGAAAAATTAACGTAAAATAATTTGTCTTCAACCTTTTGTAAATTTATCAAAAACAAGAAAAAAAAAAGAAAAAAAGTTTATCAATAAAAACTTACACGAGAAAATTTTGTTTCTTTATCTACGAATATATCGTAGTATGAACGCGTGTATATCTATATATATATCTAAAACAAATAAAAATTACAAGTTCAAAATATGAAATGTATTTGATTTAGAACATATTGATATCAGAGTTATAATTTGACAAAGTTCAAGATATATCTCTATCAGTATCAGTAGTAACAATTTTAAAAATATACTAGCTAACACATAAAAAGAAGCAATAAGAAAGAATTTGGTTTTTGATTCGGTTTTTTCTTTTTCTTCTTCTTCTTCTTCTTCATCATCCTATAAATTCAATCAATTTCATAATAAAAATGTCTGACATGTGTGTAACCACCCCACACTTACATCTGCCAATATATGGTTTTGATTTTTTTTAACTGATAACCTACACGATATATACACTCACACATACATATATATATATATATATATATATATAAATATGTAGATATATAAAAGCAGTAAAAAAAAATCTCAAACACTCAAATAATGTTTGCACCGATCACTAGAAAAAAAAATATATAACGTCTAGTTAACGATCTGATGTGAATTTTCTAACCCGGTTTAGATAGTAAAAAAAACTTCTTACAACTGAAAAATGGATTGCAAAAAACTCAAATATGATTTAAACTCAGCTCATTTTGACTTTTTTTTTGTATACTTAAAATTTAATAACTATATTTAAAAAAACATCATTATTATTCATCATACAAATGTATAACTAGAGTCATTCTTTTGTTCACTTAAAGATAGATACATCTTTGAACAGATCAATATTTCTAACAACATTGACAAAATAATATTTATAACAAAAAAAGAAAATTGAATTAATAGAAATTTGACAAGAATGAATTTTCTTACCTAGAATCTGAAGGGACATAAAAGAATTTATCTATCAACAATCACCAAAACAAGTATAATTATTTTTTTTTTTGTTAAAAATAATATATATGTTGCAAGAGATATATTGAAAAACAGGGTTTATTAACGAATGTCAAAAAAGAAAACCAGAAGAGACTATAGATGTATAAATGATCGGCTATAAAATAAAAATAAAAATAATGAAACACAAAAGGAACAAAAATAAAGATAAAGAAATAGTAAAAAAAAGAGCAGTCTTCAAATATATATATATATGGGCCAGAAGTAATAGTCAAACAAGTAAAGGGAAGGTTTTCAATCAATATACAATACTGTTAAGTATAAAGCGTATATTACCATATACAGTACCGATTATTTTTTCTGTTCCTTTTTTTCTTATTTATTACAGATACAAATGCCGATCAAAAACGTAATAGCGACTACTATAGGAGGGAACAAAAAAGTTCATATCAGTAACAGACACACAAACTATCGATGATCGAAGATAGATTTTGTCAAGGTAAAGAGGCATAAAAGAAAAAAGGTTAAGAATAATTTGCGACAAACAAATTTATATAATCAATCGATCAATCGACTCACTTAAAGAAGAAAAACATTTATATTTCTCGTTAAAAAAATTTTCTCAAAATAATATATTTAATTTTAATGTATTGAATATACAACACATCATACCGAAACTATTATTAAATTCTCAAATTATTGAAATTGTTAACAACATAACTACATGTCAAAAAGTGGTAACAAAATTCTCTCTCTCTCTCTCTCGCTCTTTCTCTCTCACTCTCTCTCTCGAGTTCTACTATGTTAAAACATTAAAAAAAAAGATATATACGAAAGTTAAATCGATAACAATAAAAAACAATCTTTTACTGTCAGAAGTCAAATTAAAATAAATGTCGATCAGTCTTTTCCATATTGATTCTATCACTACAACTTCTCTTCTTTTTTTTATTTCTTCATCGGTCACTGAATATACAGAATCAAATAAAGGTGTTTCCAAATAATGAACAATAAATAAATCGAAATATAACTTGTCACCATCTATTTTTCTACTTTATCATTCTATTCTCACACAAATGATGTATAGAGAAAGTCAAATACAAAAAATAGTACCAGGATAGTCTCAGACGTCTTTCTTCTTCTCTTTATAGACTATATATAATAAAGATCAAATAAATCAAGATTTTAGATTTTTTCAATAAATAAAAAGTTAGACCAGTTTTTTTTTTTTATAGCATCTGTGCTCGAATAAACTAATAAGAACAAAAAAGTCCTAACCTCATTTCGAAGGTAAACTACTAAAAAAAAGAAAAAAAAAACAGCAGAAAACAAAAATTTTGATGAGCTGTCATCTTTGCCCATAAAAATATTCTACTCTGCCAATTTAAATGTATTTTTCTAAGTAGCGCAAATAACAGCAATCTGCTTATCGAACAAATAAATCGGAACGATTTCATTATTTGAACATTATCCTATTTCTATTTCACAATCAACATTGATCACCAATTTTGATCATTACCACTAAATATCTGACTATTTTTTAACACTGAAGCTTGATCACTCATTTTTATATTCTACATCTAAAGTTCATACCTTTTCAACAAGCGATAGTTAGTTACCCTTGTTTTTTAATCCTTACTTAATTTAAAGATAAACAAAAATGTTCAACATTGATTTTTGTATACGTGTAAATAAAAAAATGTCAAACTCTTTATCAATAAATCAAGGATGAAAAAAAATTGTCTCTCAATTTTCTTCTCTCTCTCTCTCTCTCTCTTTCTAGTCTCATATAGTTTTCTTCTTCTTCTTCTTCTTTTTTTCTGTGCTTAATGTCAATTTTCTTGAATATGATTCTCAATACTAACAACAAAATTTTTTAATATAAGCACCTTACTTACTTACTCACCCTTTAGCTTGTCTATGTATCAAATAAGGTGACATCCTGTTTATGTGAATTGCATGACACGACATTGATTATTTTCTTCCTTTACCCATCCTCAATCTACTTTTTTTCTTCTTCTCAATCACAAAGTGCTCATACTAATATGATTTGGAATCATGGTAATTTTCTTGAATATATAAATAGAGGTGGAGAATAGACAAGGGTTCGTTCATTCTATTAGACTCATAGGAAAAAACGTGAAAAAAAAATCCAGAAATGTCAGGATTAAATAAAGAAAAAAAAGATGAGACCACACATGATTGAATCAAAGTGAGTCAAAACCAATCAATTTTAGTATGACAAATGTTAATCAAACTAATATCAGTCGGAAGACAATTGAAATTTTTGTCACACAAGAATGTAGTAGAAGAAAAGTCAAAAAAAAAGGACAAAATTTTGTTTTTTTTAGTTTTTCATTAGATAAAACAAAGAGATTCTAAATTTATTCAGACCATAATAGGCATACATTATACTATTGAACAAATGATCAGAAAAATAAACATCATTTTGTACAAACAAAAAAATGATAAGAAAAACAGTATTTTATACATTATATTAAAACGGAGCTACACTCATATTTCATTTAGTTTTTCGTTTTTTTATTTTGGTTTTTATGGCGACATCACTCGCACCTGTATGAAATAAATCATCCGTTTGTTGATCATCACCATCATCATCACTTGTAATATTTGATTGTTTTCTTTTCTTTTTTTTTAATTCATTTTTAGTTTGATTTTTCTCCTTTTGAAGTTGTTGTTCTTTCTTCGCTTCACGCAATTGTTGTCTCATTTGCTTTTGTTCTTCGGCAGTTATCTTTTTTTTTTGAGCATTTTCGTATATATATCGATAATCATCTGCGTTAATATTGAAATTTGCTCGTATTTTCGATGCGTGAGCTAACGCTAAAATAGCACTTTGTTCTTTGTCTTTTATTTCTAGCATAATATCAAAATGAAGATCTTTTGTTTCATTAATAAAATTTTGAAAATGTTTTTCATCAATATGTGAAATATGAGCACCAATTCTTTTTCCAGTCTGTTGTGTTGAATAATCAATCATTGGCACACCATCGTGTTCACTATTCCATGTATTAAAGCATGCCTGCATAGCATCTAACATTGACTCATTATTATTCAAACAATCGTGATGTAAATTATCAAATAATATTGGAATATTTGTATGTTTATGAATATAAAGACAATCTTTAACAGAGAATAGATGATCATCATTTTCAATTACCATACGTTTTCGAATTTGATCCGTTAATTTAAATTTATAATTTTCAATAAATCTATCCATTGCGGCAAGTTTATCTCCATAAATACCGCCTACAACACACAATTTTACACAAAGTAAGTGTTTATATTTATTTTTTAACTTTCTCTTCTAACTTACCAACATGAATTTGAACTTTGGCAGTTGAATTTAATTCCATACAATCAAGTAATGTACAATGGTAGGTTAATTCATCAATACTTCTTTTAACAATATCATCTGACAAAGCATTAATTAAAACAAATTGATCAGGATGCATACTAATTCTCATATTATTATCTCGAATTAATTGACCAATCATACGCAGTTTATCTGCAAATTTCAAAGACCAATTAGCTGTACACTGTTTATGACTAGCAAATGGAATTGTTTGAGATCCGATTCGAAAAAATCGATAACCATTCCCAATATTGTATTTAAGAATTTCTGTTAAACAATGAATATTTTGTTCCGAAATTTCGTAACATTTTTCATCTGTTAGCGCAGCTAACCGAAACGTATGATTTGGTGTGCAAAGGCTTGTATTAATACATGGATAACCTAAATAAACAGAAAAAAAATAAACAAATATGATATAAAACATGCACTGAAACTCTTACCCAATTTCATGCCGGTTTTATTTAATTCAGTAGACGCTAGTTGTAGGTTTAAATCTTGTTTCCACGTAGGTTCATTCTCCGCAGGTGGAATCATTTCACTTTTAGTTGATGTTTTATTGCTTTTGTTAAATTTCATGATATTACCATTAGTTATCGCTTTTGAAACTTTCGTTGATATTTTTCTTTTAATGGGTACGACTATTGTTCTAGAAAGTATTTTAGCTGATGTTACCGTGTTTATCATTTTTAAACGTTTACTTTGACGTACTGTACGTGAATCTTCTTCATCATATAGGTCAACTGAATCAGAAACAACATTATGTTCAATTGACAACGTCTTAGTTGCCACCTGGTTATCCTTTTTTTCTTTTTCTCTCATTGTATCATTTACTGTAGAAATTTAAAGTCACTAGTTATGAAAGCTTCGAAATATTATATCTACAAAACATGTAACAAATAAACAGATAAATCGAGACACTAAAATTTAATATTTGTTTATTCAGACATTTATGAGTGCCAAAACTGTTTAGCTTATATTAGATCTTTTACCACTTTCTCGATTTTTGCGTGAAAATTTGTTTATCGGGAAGAAGCAGCATTTTTATTGATTTCGATCAAGCGAGAGTAAAATAAATTCTACTTTGAAACGTTAGTTTCCACTCTGTTATTAATACAGAGTATGCAGAAAATACGGCGATACACTGCAAAAGCCCACTCTACTCAGAATTCTTATTAAAATGCTGGACATGACTGAGAATGCTGTCATCGAAAAACGTCAGGAAGCAATAACAGATCCGCACCATGCATGCGCTCAATTGTGCGTAGAAGAATGACGGATTGCTTGTGCGATGAATATTCGAAAGTAGTTTGACGAACAATAATCTCATGCATCGCATCTGGAAGAGCGGTCTTATTAGAAACTGGAGAGTGTACTGTCTCACTACGAAACCGAAGATATAGTATTTTTTGGTCAAAACATTGCACATACCATGACAAGCATTCAAAAAAAGAAAACATTCGATAGCCAAATGTGCCACTTCACTTCTCTGATATCTTCATCCAATCAACGTGTCATTCCAGCGCATCAGAAGCGCATGAAATAAGAGGTTTTTCTCATGGGCCTACACACTACTGTTAAACATGTGATAAGCTAAAACCGGTCGTGATATAACTCTACAAGACCGCCATTAAGATGTATTTCTTGCTACTTCCCTTCTCTTAAAGGCGCGTTTTGAAAAAGAAGGAAAAAGTGCTATTTGCTATGTGAACTACTGATCAATGACTCATCATCGTTATTGATTAATGTACTTACTTTTTCTGTTTTGGTACCTTAATCCTACAACTCTTCTACCATAAACTGACAACCAAAAAGGAAAAAGAAGTTCAAGTTCTCGTCTTGTCTGGCTTCTTGTGCATATACGAAAAAAGCTAAATTCACTAACTTAGACCGCTAGCATATGGTGCAATGCGCTAGAAAGATTGCATAGTAACTCTTCGTTTCTACTAAACATAAGGAATTCAAACCAGTCAGCATAGAAAAGGGTCAAGATACACTAGGACTAAATGTTAGGCCTAAATGACCACAATTAACATAAACACACGATGATGTGTTGCCTAGCTGTCAGCCCTAGCGTATCTTGACCATAGAAAACAGAGCAGAAGTTGCTTTCTTTCAGCCGTGAATAATTGCAGTATATAAGGATACGTGGAGTATGTTTTGGGTCTCACTTTCCTATTGGTGGAAATATTAAACGAAAGGAAAAGAAGGAAAACGATGTCGTACAAGTCTGTTTCTGGTACAAAGATCGAAGAAAAAAGTGAAACAAAACTAATCAAAATTGATATGATTTGATTCAGTTTTCTATTCAGATCATAAATATCAACTTTATTTAAATAAAAAAGTCTTGATAATTAGGAAATTAAGTTTTTAGTTTTTCCCATCCGGAAGGATGTTTCATAAAAATTCTTAAGTGCTTGACTTAACTGAGTCTAGGCTTAAGCCAGACTTAAGTGTATAAAATTAACACGTAAGTGCATAAAATGAAGACTTAAGTCTGACTTAGGTCTAGACTCAGTTAAGTCAAGCACTTAAGAATTTTTATGAAACACCCTCCTGAACTGTATTTAAAAGGAAAGAGAACAATTTTCTTTCCTCTACAGTTAGTGTCCAGAAGACAACATGTGCTTGTTTTATAGAACATTCAACCTAACCTTCTATTCTGTATGCTGTATCAAACAAATTTCCGACTACTGCGAATCTATCGAAAGCATTCTTATTACCCTCGTCGTAATTTTTTTCCATAAATACACTTTTTTGCCGTCAGATTAGTAATTAATTATAAGTAGTTTCAAGTAATACCAACCAATAACTACAATCATATTATCTATGAAGAAATACCCAGGTGAAACACGTCTTGTAAGACCTTGCAAGATCTGATGTTTTCTTGTGAAATCTTGTAATAAGGTCTTACGATATGATCATACAAGACCTTATTATAAGATAATATAAGATCTTATGGAAT